CTTTTGTATGTTGGTATTTTTTGTTCGTGACAAATTTCATATGCATCTGTGAAATTTGTGTTTTCAAGTTCCTCTATTAGTTTGTACTGATAAGGAAGTATTCTATTTTTTATTTTTAATTCATTCATTTTTTCTGGTGATAAGTTAAAATCTCCCATTGTGATTATGTAGAAATTTTCATTTTTTGCTTGTTTTATGATATTTATAATGTATTCATATAATTCCAATTTTTCTTTTTTCATACTTAAATTTGCATAGTTATAAATTTGTATAATTCTAATCTTAACATTTCCTTGTAAAAATAAATCTATAAATATTGCACGTCCTTTGAATTCAGTTGATTTTTGAATGTATTTTGCTAGTTTATTGTGTATAATTATCCCAACCCCAGAACCTATTGGTTTGTCTTCTGAACAGCTCCAAAAAGATGAATAATTTTTATTATTTTTATATATATGTGACGCAGTTCTATTATTTAAATTTGTTTCAGATAAACCTAAAACATCTAATTGTAAAGTTTCTATTGTATTAATAATTTGTTCTTGTTTAACTGGGTCTTTCATGCCCATTACATTATGATTTGCTATTTTTAATAAGTTACCATCAATTTCTATGTTATTTTCATTATTGTTAAAATTTATTTGGGTATTGGTTATGTTGTTTATACCCATATTATTTGAATTATTGTTGTTAATCATAAGTTAATTAATTAAAATTTATTCTGACTGGTGCTAATAGCACCTTGATCCATTTCATCATTATTTTGGTATTGATTTTCAAAAATATTGAGGATTTTGTTTATTTTTTTGTTCATTTGTTTTGTGTTGTGTTCAATATTATTTTGTTTAATTTTCAATTCATTTATTTCATCATTTATTTCATCATTAATCTCTGCATTAAGAGATTCATCACTTGATTCATTCATTTTTTTTCTTTTTTGTGTATGTTTGGATGTAGAAGGAATATTTTTTCCTTTTGACAAAATTGAAATATCTAATTTATTATTTCCTTTTTGTGAATTAACTTTAGATGAGTTATTTTGAAATTTATTTTCAGTTGTTTTATGTTGAGTTGAAGTATTTGATAAATTTGTGCCAGCATTATTCTCCAATGCTTCTACTCTCTTCTTTACTTCTTCTATGTCTAGCATTATTTTTTTTAAATCTTTTTGAATGTTTTTCATGATTTCTACTATGTTCTCATTTTTTTTAATATTATTATTAACATTCATTTTTAAATTTGATTCATTTTGTTTAAATATTTGTTTTGAATTTTTTGTTTTTTCTGCATAAGAAACTCTTTTAATTGAATTATTTGGTTCAATAAATCTTTGTTGAGCTTTTTGTGAATTTGATTTTGGCTGAGGAACTCTATATTTATGATAAAGTCCTTGCAGACGTGCATTTTTTTGTTTAATTTCATCATTTTTTTCTTTTTCTGGACAAACAGCTATTAAATGATCACTGTTACCACATTTATGACATGTTTTGTGTTCATCACTTTCCCAAGAGAGATTATTGTTTCTGAAGGCAAAATTTGTCAGACATGCATTTTTCATATCTTCATCATTTTCAAAAGTTATGTAAGCAAATCTTTTTCTGGTGTATTGTTGTCTTGTTCTTGTAATAAAACAAGTTTTAGCCTTTACTGCTAACATAATATCATGTAAATCATATGCTGTTGTGCCATATGGCAGATTAGTGAGTTTTAGAGTACGACTATTTCTTTCGTCTATTTCTTCTTTGGTAACATCCAATGGTGCAATTCTACAACTATCTTTTAAGTACATAATTGACCATTTATCACCAAGTTTGCTCATGGATTCTTTATCTTTGAATGTAATTTGTGCTTTATACCAAGTTCCTTGTGCTCTCATTTTAATATTTGTAATTTCTCCATAAGAAGATAGAATATTCATTAAAACTTCTTTTTTTGCAGTTAAGGGTAAATCTCTTATGCTAATAGTTCTTTGTCGATAATCTTGGACAGATATTTCTTCATGTGTTTGAAATTTAAAGTCACTATTTTCTGCAAAAGGTAGTTCACATGCCTTATCTGCATTTTCTTTTGTTCCAAAGGTTGCTACAATATATTTGATTCCTTTAATATATTTAATATTTAAGCCAACAAGGGGCTGAATGTTTGATAATACTTTTGAAGCTGATGCAAGTTTTGCATTATTATTACCACCAGGGACATTTTCAGCTTCAATTTGAACAATAAAACGTTCCTTTCTTTTGACAACAGTCCAATCCTTATCTTCACTTTGATCTAAATTCATATCAGAATCAACATCATTATTACTGACATTTTCAAGTCCATTTTGCAATCTTGCAGAGTTTTCATGATTTTCCATTGTATTAATTTTTAGGTAATTAATTGTCTACCAAGGAATTGGCAGACATACAAGTATATATATACTTTAATTCAGAAAAAGTATTTATGAACCACAGAAACCTTCTAGACAGGGTATTTACTACAAAGAATTGTGTTTTTATTATTTTATGTGTTTTATAATTATATATTTTTTTTTTTTTTATAAATATAAAAAAAATTTTTTTTTATTTTTTTTCTCTAAAAAATTATGTAAACACGTTTTCTTTTTTTAATTTTCCAGTCATGTGCGATCGACATTTTTAAATTTCGGAAATGCACCAAATTTGGTTGGAGAAAATTAATAATATGTAACAAAAATAATTTAATTGTTATCCAAGAAACAAATAAAAGCAAAATGTCAAATAATATTTCATTGACTTCATTATCATTAACACATGTAGAATTCGATTCAACTGACCCAATTGCATACATATTTGCGTATATAACTTTATCACCTTTAGCAATCATGGTGGCATATGTAACCGTAATAGTTTCCAGAAGAGAAGTTGCTGGTATTAACATTTTCATAGGACAATCAATTTGTGAACTATTTAATGCCATTTTGAAAAGATGGCTGAGAGAAAAGAGACCAACAGGTTAGTTAGTAATGGTTGGTTGGTTGGTTGGTTGGTTGAGTGAGTGAGTGATTTTGTATATTTACATTATTGTTATTTGGATAATAGATAAACTTGGTACTGGATATGGTATGCCATCATCTCATGCACAATTTATTGCCTTTTTTGCAATTTTTGCAATTTTATATTTATATAACAGGTTTTTTTTTATTAGCTGAAATAAATGATTAAAAGTGATAATATATTTATTTATATAATAATAACAATAATATGATTATTATAATTATAGAATAACATTTAGGAATAACAAATGGAAATTTCCAATTGCATGTTTTTTAATAATTTTTTCAATATTAGTTTCTTATTCAAGGTAATCAAGGATCTCTCACACATACCTATCTATTTATTTATATATATCTCAATATATTAATCAAAATTGACATTACTTATTTGTATTAGGATTTATTTAAATTATCATACAACAAAACAAGTATTATTTGGTAATTTATTTGGATCAATATTTGCATTAGTATGGTACATAATTATAGAATTATTAATTAGACCTTTAGGGTTCTATAAATATTTAATTAATACAGATTTGGCAAGATCTTTTTATTTAAGAGATTCAGCTTTGGTTCCTGATGTTTTGAGATTTGAATATATTTTTTGGGTGAAATTCAAAGATTATAAAGAAATATAGATAAGTTGTGATGTTATGAAAAGAAGGAAAATATGAAGAATCTAAAAAAAAAATCTAAAAAATTTGTTAGATACTTTGTTATTTAAAAAAATCTTACTTTAATCATGTATATATAATATTAATTTAAATTGGTAAAAATGATTAAATTTATAAAGGTTAAGAAATAGAAAATATATGCAAACCACAAACAACTTCACTCTTGCTAATCAACTTATGAGCCATTAAACAAATATTTTCATGTAATTTTTCATATCATTACCATCATCTTTTATTAATAATAATAATGTTCTTTCGGTATACTCTCTCAATAAAATTGTAGCAATTCCTAATCTTCAATAGTTTTTATCAATACAACAAACATTGCGAATACAAACTGTTTTACCATCTGGCTCATGTTGACATTGATTTTTTCAGTGTGTTTTTTTAAATCTGGTTATGTTGATACCACCAACCCTATCACTTTCATTTTCATTGAATCCTTATTGTCGTCACCATCACCTTTATAATTATAATCATCATTATTATAATACAAATAAATTTGGTGCATGTTTCTGTCAATATTATAATTTTTTCCTTGTTCTAAACAAGAAATTTATGAAAAATTTAGGCCCTATTTTGTTTTATTAGCAAAGATTTACAAAAAAAAAATCATCAATATTTTGTTCAACATCTCATTCAAAGATTTATAATGGATTTAACATTTTCAGATAAATCTGCTTCAACTCAACCAGTAGATAATAGCAATAATATTTACACTACTATTACTGAAATGATAAGTCTCCTTGAGAAGGTGAAATTAGCAGCATGGACGAAGTTTTTTTTAATCATAATGACATTAACAATCCAACAGAAATTAAATGGGGTCATTTGATGTAAATAGTCAAGTAAAAGAGAAAATCCCTGCAGAGAAACCTTTAATGTCATACATTTATATGTAGTTTTGATCTGGGAATTAATACTGTTAACAATAATTCATATAAATCAACAAAGAAAATTTCTGTGGAGAAACTTTTAATTTTGATCTGGAAATTAACACCATTAATAAAAAAAACAAAGGAGAAATTCCTGTAGAGAAATCTTTGGTATATATAACAATAAAATCTTAATTTGTCAATAATAGTAATAGTAATAGTAAATAGAATAAAAAAAGAATAAAAATATTAATCATATACAAAAATAAATGTTTGTAATGATGGATATTTTCTCCAATCATGTGGAACATGCTTCAGGTACAACCATGTAAAGTCTTTATGGGCGATTTAAATGTTGCTGTTTTTCATTTAATAAACAACAACAAATAAATTCCAAGATGATAACATCATTTAGCAAATACCATTTGAAAATTGTTATTATTGATGAACTGATGAAGAATTTTCACCTGACCCCCAATCATAGTCCAAAAAGCTATCAAAAAGGTCAACAAGACTTGTTTCAGTATTTGTTGAAATGATAGGATCTGATTGTTCTGTTGATGTTGCTGGTGGTTGTATGACAAATGGATTTGCAATGATGAACCTGTAAAGGTTCCTGAACTTGACGTGCCTCTGCAGGGACTTCTTGGAAACATCAATTTCTTGATGATATTGATTAAAATAATCATTATTATTATTGCTTTTTTTTTACTAATGATTCTTCTTTATTATGATCATCATTATTAAAAGAATCTGAAGTTTCCAAGGTCGCAGATACTGCTGATCCGTGAACATCATCAACTAAGACTTTATTCATCTTGGAAACAGAAAGTTGCGATCGAATTTTTGCAAATTGCTCTAAAATTGTATCTAATTTAGCTAATAAAACTGATTTTTCTTCTTCTAGAGTCTTTAATCTTTTTGATAAATGTATATTTTCTTCTTTAAGAACCATGTTCTGTGCCTCTAAATCAGTCATTTGTTTTCTTTTTTTATCTCTTGATATTTGTGCTGCATGTCGATTTCAAAGTATTCTATTATCAAAAAATCAATTAATGAATTATTTCGTTGATTAATTGATAATGGAATGATGATATCACACCTTTCATGTTGTCTTTGTTCTATACCTTCAACCTTTCTCTTTTGACCACCAGTAGTTTTCTTTTTAGTTTCTTCAACTACTGATGATGATGAAAATGAAAATTGACTAATGGAAGTTAAATTACTCGAACAGTTTGATGTGATTTTTGAATTTGGAATAATGTTTTTAGTAAATGTCAGTTGAATTGGTTTTAAAGTGGTGGAAGTTGAAGAAAGTAATTTAATTTTTGAAGTTAAAGGAGCAAAATCGTCATTATTTGTTATGATGGGAGACGAAATTGCAGAAGAGGAAGGAGGAATTATTTCTGAGGTCACCAAATCTTCACTCCAATTAGAGTAATCATTATTATGAGACAAAGGGATCTCGTAACCATTGGCATCATTGAAATGTTGGTTTGGTGAAGACATGGTGACCTATTATGACTTTTCTTTGTTATCACTGTCAATGCAGTTTGGGCCAGTTCCAACAAGAATATTATTTAAAAAAAAAAAATAGAGATAATAAAAGGAAATTTATGAAGATAAATTTATCTCATCAATATTGTGCAACAGTAACTGTTTAATTTTTTTGATACATGTAAAATCCTCTGCCACTCTTTATGCCTAACCAACCAGCATCAACGTATTTTTGTAATAAAATAGCTGGCCTATATTTAGTATCACCAATCTCTGTATGTAACACCTTCATTATTGCTAAACATGTATCAAGGCCTATGAAATCAGCTAAAGTTAAAGGACCCATTGGGATATTTGTACCTAATTTCATAGTGGTATCTATATCTTCACAAGTTGCTATGCCCTAGACAATTTATGGTTAATGTAGTTATTATTTTTTATTTCTGAATTGATTTTTTTGAAAAAAAAAAACTTTACCTGTTCTAATACCATAATAGCTTCATTAATGTAAGGCATTAATAATCTATTTGCTATAAATCCCGGAACATCTTTTGACAATGTACATGTTTTACCCATGGAAATAGCCAAATTTTTGGTTGTATCAAAAGTTTCATCTGATGTGGCTAAACCAGGAATAATTTCAACCAATTTCATCACACTCACTGGATTCATAAAATGCATACCAATCACCTAAACAAACATAAGATTATTTTGAGAATAGTGACTTTCTTTTCTTTGTATCCATCCAATTCATTATTACCTTCTGTGGTCTATTTGTAACTGCTGCAATTTTAGTAATACTAATACTACTAGTATTGGTGGCAAGAATTGTATCTGGTTTAGTTGACTTATCCAGATCAATAAACACCTTTTTTTTCAATTCTAGATTTTCTGGTACTGCTTCAATCACAAAATTCATTTCACTTAACTCTGAAATATTTTCTGTTGTTTTAATTAATGATTTTGTTAAACTAGCATGTTCTTCTGTAATTTGATTTTTTTTAATGTCTTTCTCAAGTAGGCCATCTAAGAAGAATTTATATATGTTCATATTATAAACTTTTTTAAAAAAACTGAGAGAAATTAATATGTAATTTTTCAAATCAGACCAATAAATCTCAATGCTTTTTCAATTTGATTTGGATTTGAATCCATGATTTTAACAGGTAAACGACTAACATTTGCAATTACAAATGCAATTCCCAATCCCTAATTTTATTTAATTAACAATAAAATATTTTAATCTATTATTCAAATAAATATAATATTAACTAATTAATTAATTAGAAAAACCATTTGTCCTGCTCCAATAACTCCAACTTTGTGATTCTTTTTTAAAAATAAATAAATAAAACCATTAATTAAGCAAAAAAAAAAAATATATATATATCTCAAT